CTTAAATAACTACATTACATTAAATGATATTATTACTACAATTGCTAACAATGTTTTCTTATAAACAGGAGTCTGCAAAATTCATTTCACTCCATCCAAAAACATGACGATTGGTGGAACTGGACAACAACCGCTTTCCTTGAGAGATTATATGACAGTGCCATCTGCTATGATAAAAGAGTAGAAAATGAAGTACATTTTTAATGATTTAGTTGACATCTGTTGCTATTTTAAACAAGATTTAAGTGGCTTTGCAAAGAATACGGCTTACTATGTGTTGCTTTAACAGACAGGAGATTTCAGCGGTCCTTTTTCTCTTATTGGGAGTCCAGTCATAAGAAAGATCAAGAGCACATATAACTCGTCATGCCAGGTAAATCATCAACACTGACTGTTCTACAGTAAAAATTTTTTTTATTGTGAAGACACATTAAATGTATACACACAACACTTTTGACAGGCTAATATTTATTTTCTCAATGCACAGATCTTGAATTTGTTGGGCAAGCACAATATTAAATGCTCTGAAAACCAGTCTGTGGAAAAGAGACACTCGCTTTGTGGGAAACTTGGGTGTTATGAGGGAGAAAGTGTGAGTGTGAGCCTTGGAAAAACAAGGTCAGATAAACCGTTGATTAATCTGATATATCCAATATTATGTATCTTGTATTATGTGCAATATATAAAGAATATGTGTTGCACTGCTAAAAATAGGTCCAAAGCAATCAAGTCAATTAAAAAGCTTCTGGATACTGGCTGGATGACTCCTTTCACCCAAATTGTGATGGTCCAGTTTATCCTGTACAATGGGCCCAGTAACCTCTTCACGGCAGTCACTATTCTAGTAGAGCAAACCTCAACAGGAGCTCTGATGCCCTCGGCAAGCATACAGTCCACTAGGCTCTACCATTTCCCAGCTGCCCTTGACTACAGTGTTATGACCTGTGAGGTGAGCATCTTATTACAGTCCAGACACAGTATCTGAGCTGATAACATTAAAGGGATAGTTAACCCAAAAATGAAAATTCTGTCATCATTTACTCACCCTCATGTTGTTCCAAACCTGTATGCGTTTCTTTCATCTGTTGAACACAAAAGAAGACAAGCTGATGAATGTTGGTAACCAAACAGTTGATGTAGCCATTGACTTCCATAGTATTTTTTCAAGATTTTTTGGTTCAAGATTTTTAATTTATTACATCTATAGTTATTTACATATGTTTAAATGTATTATATTGTAAATATATTTAACTTATTTTTCCTCTCTGTGTCTTTTTACTTCTAGCTTATTTTCCTTTTATTCACCCTGCTTCATATGTATCGGCAAATATATGTTATGACTCAAAGAGAATGGCTTTACTGGAGAAACCTTTGGAGCTGGCTTGAGGTGACATTACACTCTTTCTAGACATGCATTTTTACTGTGTTTTTTTTTAAAGAAATTTAATCTGCTTTATTGTATTTTACATTATTTTAATAAAACATTTTTTTACACAGGTGACAGTGTTGATCTGCAGTCTTTTGTGGTTTATCTGCTCTGTGTACATCTTTATGCTAAAAACAGAGATGATTGATTTCCTGCAGAAGGAGGATTTTGAATTACCTGTTGATCTAAGCCCCATCTTCTTTTGTGAGCAGGTAGGACAATGCAGTTTAGTTCATTATGACATTACTTGTATTGGATTTTCTATCACCCCCCCTATATAAAAAAATGTCATAATGTGATTGCAGATTAACATTTCAGGAGTACAAAAATGGCGCAGCATGTAGTTATATAGCTCAAGTGAACAAATTTGTTAAGACGTCCTGCCTGCTTTCTGAATTTAAAAATATGAATGTATTTCATTAACAGCTTTCTCAATCTCTCCTTGGCGTTGTGGTTAATTTGCTTCTACTGAAATGTGTGTCCTTACTACGGCTAAACAAAGCAATGGCAGCAGCTGTGTCTACCTGGAAGCTGATCTTCTCCAACCTGCTTCGGTTACTGGTAGCCTATTGATTTACATAACACAATATGTTAAAATCAGTTCACCCCATTAATGTAACCAAAGGCTACTTCCATTAAATTACGTATCTTTTTTTCTATTTAGGCACCTGGTGTTATTGTCGCAGTGGCCCTCTCCGGTCTCCGGAACTTGATCTTTCATTCATTCCCATTTACCAGTATCACTAGATCTGCTCATTTGCTCTTCACTCGTTTCTTTTGCATGAGCCACTTTGGTAACATTTACCTCCAAGCCCAAGTCCCATCAACAATTTATTTTGGAGCTATATTGTGCACTATGATTCCATTAAATGCTACGGTATGTATTGGAATATTGATGGTACACAGTGTATATTTGAGTGCAGTTATATCTCATATATAGATAAAAGTGTAACTTTAATTAATGAAAAAGGAGGTATTAAAACTATACCTCCTAGACTGGTTGACATGATTCTGTTTTGATTTCTTTCAGGTAATTGCCACCCTTACCTTTTTTGTGAAACAAAGAAGGAAAACTAAAAAAAGAAAACATTTACTGACTGTCTTTGAGCTGATCTCTTATGTCAAAGACAAGGCTTTACTCATTATTGGCAAAGCCAGTCACAAGTCAACTGACCATCATGTCCACTCTAATGTAAGCAGTCTGTAATCGTTAAAACAGATTAAATAGGGCCAATAGAAATACTCTTGACTGCATCATTTTTATTCATTTAAGGATAAATCTGCTTTTGTTTTCACAGAGGTTTTACTTAGCAGAGTTTGAGGATCTCATGGATGAACTGTTGTTTCATCTCTGCACTATGTCAGACAGTCTCCACAACACCCTGCCAGCAAAAGAAAATCTATTTGAAACCCAGAGTAATTTCTCTGTGCCGCTTTCTGGGCATGTTTATAGCTCAGACTCAGAGGTGATTGTTTCACTTTTGCACAGAACTCAAATTATTCAAGCTGTATTGTACAAGCACATATTTATGCAACTTATGCATGTATTTTGTTTTATTTATACAGTATTAGTAATGTGTGTAAATAATATGTCAGTATTAGTAATGATGTCTGAAGCACCAGCGATAAAAGTGAAAAAGGTTATCTTGGTTATCTAAATGTATATTATATTAAAGGAATAGTTCACCCAAAATGAAAATTTGTTTGAAAATTTACTCACCCTCAAGCCAACCAAGATGTAGTTCAGTTTGTTTCTTCATCAGAACAGATTTGGAGTAATTTAACATTACATCACTTGCTCACCAATGGATCCTCTGCAGTGAATGGGTGCCGTCAGAATGAGAGTCCAAACAGCTGATAAAAACATCACAATAATCCATAAGTAAACCATATCACCCAAGTCTTAATCTATTAATGTCTTGTGAAGTGAAAAAAAATCCATCATTAAGGCATTTTAACTTTAAGCCGTTGCTGCTGGCCAGATTTTGTCCAAATCTGTTCAGATGAAGAAAAAACAAAAACTCTACATCTTGGGTGGCCCGAAGGTGAGTACATTTTCGAGTATATTTTCAACATAATTTTCCTTTAATGTCTATCAATTTTCTTACATGTTAAAATTTATATTTTATATTTAATTGCATTATATATATATATATATATATAATTGCAACAATTGCATATACATGTTTTGCATAGAGTGTAATTTTTGATGGACCGGGGAAGAAACACGTAGGATGCCTGGATATCAGCAGTGCCTCATATAGGGAAAACACTCACAGGTAGACTTGCTTTCTATGCCAAATTCCAAATACAGTAGAGTTGAGATGCAATATGAATGAATGTCAAAGTCTATCACTGTAATGTGCTAATTGTTTCACTTAATGATCACCACTTGAACACAGAACGTCTCAGTACTTACAAAGCAGAGGAAGAACGCAGGAGGAGAGTTTTTCAAGAGGGCCGAGGAATTTCAGAAAGTGCCTCAAAGATCCAATCAGAGAGTCAGAAGGGACTGGACAGGCCCAAATTCTTTCTTCAGTCAAGCAGACCCATTGTGCACCAGCTGAATGGAAGGACAAAGTGTAGATTAAATCATCAATGCTGCCTGATCCAAGCAGGTTGGCAGATGAGCATAATTTTGCCATCAAGACACAAATCATGACTCAAAAGATGAGAAGGCACACTCTTCTAACCTCATCAACTTGTGAAGTGAACATGGGTCATCATACAGCACATGGCAAGCGAGCTGGAGAGTCATGTGTGTTTAATACATCTTTCATTGAGGGAATGGACAATTCTGTACAAGGGCAAACAATTATTCCAGGGTTCATTGAACAATGTATGTAATACAAGAAAAAAGAGCTGTTCAGTTTTGCTGTTTCATTCCAAGAAGAGAATTAGCATTTTCAAGCCACATTCCCTCTGGAGTTGGGTTTTTAGAATGGTGCTTAACATTTCTTTAAAAACCCATTTGATCTGATTAAATACCTCAAAAGTGATATTTGATTTGCATGAAGTTGCTAAAATATTAAGAGGACATGTCTTAACATGCTTGACAAATTGGACTGTTTTTTTTTTAATATAGCAATTTCAAAATTCACATTTGGGGTATTATTTGCGTTTGTGTGAAAATTTATGAGGGTGGCCCCTTCTGTTATTTTGCAATAAAAAATTAAACATTCCTTTGCCAAAAACAATTTTAATAAATAAGACTTTTATATATCTACAGTTTTTTCTCATTTACTATGTTACTTCACCCATGCTGTCATAATGCAGGTACGTGTGAATTTCATTTCTTAACCTATTAACAACTAAAAAACTTCAATCGTAAAAGCAAAAACTTGCTCCTAGTTACACTTCCTGTATCTCATCAGACTCGTCTTATCTCTTTCACTAATCGACCAATCAGCTTGCAGCCCACGACAGACCACCCAATTGCGGTTTGGAACGTGCATGAACTGCGGACTTGAGTGGCGACCGATGATTGGCCGAGTCCTTGCTCTACCAGCCAATCAGAGCGTGGCAAGTCAGTCAAGTTCAAGTAAAGGAGTGGGGATTGGGAAGCGAGGTAAGAAAAAAAAGCATTTAGAGAAAAATGCGTGACGTGTAATGAGCTGAGCCAAAGCATTTAATGCAAACGTTATAACTATCACAGTATTTATTACTTTGATTATCGGTAGCAGTGTATGCGTCTCGGTTTAATCCATTAAGCTAACTAAAGGAGGCGTGAATATTACAGATCATGAAGAAGATAACCCTTCTATTGATTGTGCTGCTTGGAGTGACACACTTCATATTGCCAAGCCGATGCGAAGAAGATGCCAAAGATGGTAAGATATCTATTGCAGGTTGTTGATATCTAACATGCTTGTTTGTTTTTGGATATTCAGACCCGTTGCATTGCTAGCTAGCTTGATGCATTCTTGTTTATGGCAACACTGCATGTTAGACGGTGTTGTAGAGACCATTGAGATGTTTTTGTTGCACTACAACAAAGACCTATTATTATAAAACAAGTATCAAGAAAACAGGAGCTGATTTAGCTTGATGCATTTCATATTTGTTAACCATAACATTCTAGATTCAGCAGAAGATATTGGAGAGGAAGATGAGGATGACGACGATGATGATGATGCAGATGACACTGAAGTAAAGGAGGAGAATGGGGTGCTGGTCCTGACAGATGAAAACTTTGATACCTTCATAGAGGGCAAAGACACAGTACTGGTCGAGTTCTATGCACCATGGTAAGGCTTCTTTGCTCTACATCCGTAGGAGACACGTCATTGATTGTCAGAGATCTTGCTCATGCAAATATTACACTTGATCAGGTGTGGCCACTGCAAACAGTTTGCTCCGGAGTATGAGAAGATTGCTCAGACGCTAAAGGAGAATGACCCACCGATTCCTGTGGCAAAGGTTGATGCCACAAAGGCTAGTGCACTGGGAAGTAGATTTGAAGTTTCTGGATATCCCACCATAAAAATACTTAAAAAGGGGGAGCCGGTGGACTATGACGGGGATCGAATTGAGCGTGGTGAGTTCACTTAAAATTCATTTAAATGCCCTTATTTTTTTTATAATCAGATTGCTGTGAAGTTGACAAGTGCTCATGAGTTTCCTTCCGGGTACGTTGTCAATCAAGCATGGTTTTAACTTTCATTTTTTCAGCCATTGTGGAACGGGTTAAAGAAGTTGCCCAACCAGACTGGAAACCTCCTCCGGAGGCCACCCTAGTCTTGACTAAGGATAATTTTGATGATGTGGTGAACAATGCAGACATTATTCTGGTGGAGTTCTATGCACCCTGGTTTGTATATTTCGATTCCTGTGCAGCTTATTTATTAACTCCTGATGTTACATCTTTGCATTCTTTCTGAAGCATCAGTGTGTCTTTTTGAGAGTCATGTGTTTGAATTCAAACAGGTGTGGCCACTGTAAGAGTCTTGTGTGAAAATTTATGAGGGTGGCCCCTTCTGTTATTTTGCAATAAAAAATTAAACATTCCTTTGCCAAAAACAATTTTAATAAATAAGACTTTTATATATCTACAGTTTTTTCTCATTTACTATGTTACTTCACCCATGCTGTCATAATGCAGGTACGTGTGAATTTCATTTCTTAACCTATTAACAACTAAAAAACTTCAATCGTAAAAGCAAAAACTTGCTCCTAGTTACACTTCCTGTATCTCATCAGACTCGTCTTATCTCTTTCACTAATCGACCAATCAGCTTGCAGCCCACGACAGACCACCCAATTGCGGTTTGGAACGTGCATGAACTGCGGACTTGAGTGGCGACCGATGATTGGCCGAGTCCTTGCTCTACCAGCCAATCAGAGCGTGGCAAGTCAGTCAAGTTCAAGTAAAGGAGTGGGGATTGGGAAGCGAGGTAAGAAAAAAAAGCATTTAGAGAAAAATGCGTGACGTGTAATGAGCTGAGCCAAAGCATTTAATGCAAACGTTATAACTATCACAGTATTTATTACTTTGATTATCGGTAGCAGTGTATGCGTCTCGGTTTAATCCATTAAGCTAACTAAAGGAGGCGTGAATATTACAGATCATGAAGAAGATAACCCTTCTATTGATTGTGCTGCTTGGAGTGACACACTTCATATTGCCAAGCCGATGCGAAGAAGATGCCAAAGATGGTAAGATATCTATTGCAGGTTGTTGATATCTAACATGCTTGTTTGTTTTTGGATATTCAGACCCGTTGCATTGCTAGCTAGCTTGATGCATTCTTGTTTATGGCAACACTGCATGTTAGACGGTGTTGTAGAGACCATTGAGATGTTTTTGTTGCACTACAACAAAGACCTATTATTATAAAACAAGTATCAAGAAAACAGGAGCTGATTTAGCTTGATGCATTTCATATTTGTTAACCATAACATTCTAGATTCAGCAGAAGATATTGGAGAGGAAGATGAGGATGACGATGATGATGATGATGCAGATGACACTGAAGTAAAGGAGGAGAATGGGGTGCTGGTCCTGACAGATGAAAACTTTGATACCTTCATAGAGGGCAAAGACACAGTACTGGTCGAGTTCTATGCACCATGGTAAGGCTTCTTTGCTCTACATCCGTAGGAGACACGTCATTGATTGTCAGAGATCTTGCTCATGCAAATATTACACTTGATCAGGTGTGGCCACTGCAAACAGTTTGCTCCTGAGTATGAGAAGATTGCTCAGATGCTAAAGGAGAATGACCCACCGATTCCTGTGGCAAAGGTTGATGCCACAAAGGCTAGTGCACTGGGAAGTAGATTTGAAGTTTCTGGATATCCCACCATAAAAATACTTAAAAAGGGGGAGCCGGTGGACTATGACGGGGATCGAAGTGAGCGTGGTGAGTTCACTTAAAATTCATTTAAATGCCCTTATTTTTTTTTATAATCAGATTGCTGTGAAGTTGACAAGTGCTCATGAGTTTCCTTCCGGGTACGTTGTCAATCAAGCATGGTTTTAACTTTCATTTTTTCAGCCATTGTGGAACGGGTTAAAGAAGTTGCCCAACCAGACTGGAAACCTCCTCCGGAGGCCACCCTAGTCTTGACTAAGGATAATTTTGATGATGTGGTGAACAATGCAGACATTATTCTGGTGGAGTTCTATGCACCCTGGTTTGTATATTTCGATTCCTGTGCAGCTTATTTATTAACTCCTGATGTTACATCTTTGCATTCTTTCTGAAGCATCAGTGTGTCTTTTTGAGAGTCATGTGTTTGAATTCAAACAGGTGTGGCCACTGTAAGAGTCTTGCACCTGAGTATGAGAAGGCTGCTAAAGAGCTCCGCAATCGCACACCTCCAATTCCACTTGCTAAAGTTGATGCCACTGCAGAGAGTGATTTAACAACGCGGTTTGGTGTTTCTGGTTACCCAACTCTTAAAATCTTCAGAAAGGGCAAGGCTTTCGACTACAATGGACCACGTGAAAAGTTTGGTAGGTCCATCACCCATTGTCTTGGCGACTGATTGATTAGGAGGCGTAATTACAATCTCTTCATTCTTTTTCCTCTAGGTATTGTTGATTACATGTCAGACCAGGCTGGTCCTCCATCAAAGCAGGTGCAGACTCTAAAACAGGTTCAGGAGCTCGTCAGAGATGGTGATGATTCTGTGATTGTAGGTGTTTTCTCCAGTGAAGAAGATGCAGCATATGAGATCTATCAAGAAGCATGTGTGTATTATGCTGTCTGGAAGTCCTTCTCAAATGCATTAGATCTGAACTTTTCATTTTATTTAACTTAACAACTTGTTCTCTTTTCCTGCAGGTAATTCTCTAAGAGAAGACTACAGATTTATGCATACGTTCAATAATGAAGTCGCAAAATTCCTCAAGGCTTCACCTGGACAAGCAGTCATGCTCCAGCCAGAGAAGTTTAGGTCTAAATATGAGCCAGCATCTCATTCACTAACAATTAAAGTAAGTTCTCAATCTTTATTGTTTGTGTGAGATCTTTGCAAACCAAGCATGACACTGTTGTTAAGGTGTGGTAACATCAGATAAATTGGCAAACTTTTGCGGTCAAAAGAGATCCAATGTCAATAGTGAAGTGGTATGAAGCACTGCTCACATAGTAGTTTAACATAGTTTAGATAACTCTAATTTTTGTGTACAAACCTTTAGTCACTTTTGAAACTGAAAAATTTTCTTTGTTTTTTTTTTCTAAAGGACTCCACACCTGCTTCAGAAGTTCAGGAATTTTTCAAGAAACACATTCTACCTTTGGTTGGGCACAGAAAGCAGAGCAACGATGCAAAGAGATACACCACACGACCTCTTGTGGTTGTTTATTACGGAGTAGACTTCAGTTTTGATTACAGAGTTGGTATGTGTCTAAGCCGTGGCTGTTGCAGCGCTTTGACACTCTAAAAGGAATTAAGATAATGCCTGTAGCTCACGATGCAAATGCTTTTGTTCACTACTGACACAATTTGTTATCATTTCCACCCAGCCACACAGTTTTGGAGGAGCAAAGCGCTTGAAGTAGCAAAGGACTTCCCAGAGTACACATTTGCTATCGCGGATGAGGAAGACTATGCTGATGAATTGAAGAGTCTTGGACTCAGTGAAAGCGGGGAGGAGGTGAATGTTGGCATTCTCGGTGAGGAAGGGAAAAAATATGCAATGGAGCCAGAGGAATTTGACTCGGATGTGCTCCGAAGCTTTGTCATGGCCTTCAAAAAAGGTAAGGTATTGGTGTGTTATGCATGTTACGTATTCTTTAAGAAAATGTACATGATTTCTCTTAATACTACTTAATCAGAAGTGATCGTTACAATGAGTTTAAGCCAGTGCGGTAAATGTTCTTCTAAGAATGCAAATGCTTAGAGAGAGCACTGCTTTTGTCACTACATCCTTTTCTTATCTGACAGGTAAGCTGAAACCTATTGTAAAGTCTCAGCCTATTCCCAAGAGCAACAAAGGACCAGTGAAGGTTGTGGTGGGCAAGACTTTTGATGACATTGTGATGGATACAAAGAAAGATGTCCTTATCGAGTTTTATGCACCATGGTGTGGCCACTGTAAAAAGATGGAGCCAGATTATACAGCTCTCGGAAAGAAATACAAGAATGAGAAGAATCTTGTCATTGCCAAAATGGATGCCTCTGCTAATGATGTGCCTCATGACAGTTATAAAGTGGAAGGTTTCCCTACAATCTACTTTGCTCCCAGCAGCAACAAGCAGAACCCAGTCAAATTCGAAGGCGGCAAAAGGGACGTGGAGGAATTAAGCAAATTTGTGGAAAAACATGCCACAAAATTATCACAGCAAAAAGATGAGCTCTAAGAGATTTAGAAAAACCATGAACATTATATAAATGCAGTTCCCTGAGAATGGAAATATTCTGGAGGGCTTGGTGACCTTCAGATAAGAGAATGTTTTGATTTGTTTTTGTACTTTCTTTTGTTTCTGCGACCAAAACATTCAGTATTTTCATTCCAAACCAAGCACTGTTTATTTCTCCCAAGTCTTTTAAATAAAAGAATGTAAAACACAAATGGAGTGGTTGTCATTAAGTTCCTGTTTACTTCCATTATACATCACAGTTTTCAGGTCCAAACTCTCCTTCAGAAACCAAAAACAGTTCTGATATATAAACTCACGGTGTGCTGTAGTACTACTAAAACATATCAATCCTGACCTTTATCTCATCTCAGTTGGCCAGACAGTTATTCATACTTTAAGAATTGTTAAAATATTGGTGTTCGGGACACCGTGAGCCTGTAGACTGTAGTGTATATTGTGAGGTTTTTAAAAGCTTAGCTTAATGCTCATAAGCAACTGTTAAATTTGTATTCTCACTTCAAATGGAGCAGAGATTTGGACCCTGAAACGGTATGTCGGGACTGAACAGGCAGCTTGGTTTAAAATCACATCTACTTTAAATCAAGTTAAATTGAAATTAAATCACATCTATTTTAAATTGGTTTTAAATCAATCTTTATTACAGATTTTTTAAATGCATTGCAATCATTTTTCAAAGAAAACCTGAATAGTGTTTACTTCACTGAATCGTTCCAGTGGTTTACGATTCGGATTGAATCCGTCCGAGCCAATAACTTCCAAACAGAGAACTAATAACGAGCCTAAAATCGATAAGCTGACAGTATTTTAGACTGAGCCGATGATTTGAAAAATGAAGCTAAAAGTAGGCTACTTTATTAGTGTACGTTTAATTTAACAGTAAAACGTGCGGGAAATATGTGACGGATTTATCAATACATATACGAAGAATAAATAGATTTGTAGCGTTTTATTTGAACATTTAACTTTTAAAGCAGCAATATGTGACTGGATTTTTGGGACGTTTTAGACACAACTGCCATGCCGTGAGGTCGGGGACGTGATGACGTAGGAGTCTCTGAATCATTTTTCGAACTCTTCGAAAGAACCGACTCGCGGAAATGATTCGGATTGCCCACCACTATTGTACGCAGATGGCATAAGTGGGTGGTACTAAATGAACCGGGTGACCCAAGTCCAGTCCAAACAGTCCACATGCAGTCCCTCAGTTCAATGAGAAAATAGAACGACATGTTGACTGTATCGACTCACTGGCCGTGTGGAACTGTTTTCTCCCAGTAATTACCACAACTGCAGCATGTTTTCCTTCTGTCTGTACTAAAAGAAACTAACAAGATCTTAAATCTGTGCATTATACTGTATCGCCAACACATTCACAGCTGCTGTTCTTCGCTGACATAATTCACGGCAATGATAGAAACCCAAAGACTACTAATAGCATACTAAGCGCCGGTTTTACAGTTTTGCAAAACTGTAGTCGTTCAAAATCAAGAACAAAGAGAACTTCTTCACATGTCCCCCACTGCAGTCACGCATCCGATTCGCCCAGTCCTCGATAGGATCTATCCAATCAAAAATCGCAACATTGAGCAGCTCGAACATGGCGTGTTCTGATTGGCTGATCTGTTTGGCGCTCGTTGATTCTGCAGTGCGCGAGGTGGGCGGCGAGTTCTGAGTATAAACGACAGACTGAGCGGGTTTGAATACTTACAGAAACGGAAATATTACACACATTTCAAATGTATTTCAATTCGCTTACAGTCTGCCGCAGTTAAGAGAGAGAAAGACGCCTGGCCAAACAGATACTTGTAAAACTAAAGACGAATTAAGCGCCTGTCTTTTGTTTATCGAGGCTCGCCGGTATTGGTAACGCGGACGCGCGGAGGTGAAAGGACCCTCTACCGCGAGCTAGCTGAGTTAGCTAGCTCACTTAACCGATCATCTTCACTTAGGGACGGCACTGACAGAAAAGTCGTTTGTTTGGATGTGGACAGGTCTCCTCCTTCAGGTAGGCACTAGAAGAAGACACTAAAGAGACAGTTGTCTGAGTGTTTTAGTGAAACCACATTTAATTTCTGGTTAAGACAGCCCAGCTAACCAGTTAGCGACTAACTTTAAATTGAAACACTGCAAAGACAGCAGTCATGTTAAGATTATAGACAGTTTACTAGTCGCGTGGATTATGTTCTACCCTACTGTTAAACCATAACGAAGTTTAAAGGATAATTCAACAAAAAACGATAAATCTGTCATTTACAAGCCCTCACGTTGTTCCAAACCTCTATGACTTTCTTCCGTGAAAGGAAACAAAGGGGATGAAAGAAATAACTGTCTCAGTCATCATTCACTTTCATTGTATTAGAAAAAAGATGCAATGCAAGTGAACAGTGACTGACATTCTGCTTAACATCTCTGTGTCAGAAGTAAAAAGTCCGGTTTAGAGAACCATGAGATTGAGTAGATACGTTTTCATTTTTGGATGAATCTTTTTAGCATGTAAGTTGTCAGCCTTTTGCTAGTTCTTCAGTGTTTGTTTCTTAATTGTCATTACAAGACTTGCTGATTTTGTGACGTTGTGCGAGTAAACACGAGTAAAACTGTTATAAGGTTTTGTTTCAGTTTTCAGTTAGACGTCTCTTCAATGTGTGTGTTAGTCCAGCAGGGGCGCCAATGAGCTCATACACCTGTCACATCTACACCAGGGATAACATAAATCCCAGATTTGGGAATACAAGTGTACCTAATGCAATTGCAGAACTACACCCAATTGCAGTTTATTCGTGGATAACAAGGGGACATTAATTTTCCTCTGCCTCTTAATTGTTCATTTTTCTCATGTTACTACATTTAGATTGAGTATGTGAGTTTGTGTTGTTGCTGAGATGACTGGGAGAACTTGTAGGAGGGGAAACCTGTGAACTTACAAGTGACACTTTGTCACTGACTCGCACTGTCTCAGCTACTCGGTTACATATTCAGCCTACGTAGTCGCAGCATGTTAGATAATCTCTACAGCAATTGAGTTGGCTTTTACACTCTAGTGGTTCCCAGAGGAAAGTATTGTTGCTCTTTCATAGCTCAGAAGACTTAAAGGGGCTCTCAGGAATTTTTTAGTTAAGTTTAAAATGAGGAGAACTAAATTAGGAGTCACTAATAAATAATACTACTGATATATGGTTAGAGTACATAACGCTACATGTTTTGGTTCAGCATATTTTAGGCCTATATAATTTCTGCTTGGAGGAATTTGTTGAGAAATCTTCATTTGAAATCTGCACTAAAAAATAAGACAAATACTCGGGAAGAATCACTTTTTTTGTAGTTAATTTAATCAGTAGGTACAATAAAAGGTACTTCCATGTTCTTTACTTGGTTTGAAAAGGTCTTAAAAAGTCTCAAGTTTACCTTCGTAAAACCTGCAAAAACCCTAAAAAAATAGATCTTACATGTAATTTTAAGCCATCTGGCAAGAGAATTAATAAGTCACTTAATGCATAGGAAAACTGTGTATGATTTAACTGGTGTACATGTGTATATATAGTTTAGTGTTGGGCGATATGGTCATTTTTCAAATCGTCATATCGCCAGCCCGTGAGATCACCGATACACGATATTATCGTGCGTGCGTGCATGGGTGGGTGGGGGCAAAAAGAGAGACTCTCTGTACTTATCATAGGCTATTTCATAACTATGTAGTGTTCTAAACCGTGCGGGCGCGAGAGAGCCTATGAAAGCACCAATAATCGAAATAATATACTTTCAAACATACTGATAAACTAACATGTTAAATATAAAAATATTTAAAACAGCTATTTCATATATATTCGGATACAACAGTCATACATCGCTATTAGGACCGCACGTCCTGTGACAAGTTTGCCGCATCAGAGCACGGAAGTTATCAGTCTAAAAGGTCTGCAAAATCAGTCAACAGTGAAAATCAAAAGTAGATTTATTTTAAAGACCAACAGTTTAACACTAAATATTGGACATAAATGAACACGTTAAATATAAAAGTATTTAAAATGGGTAAGTTCATATATTTGGAGTAAAGTTAAATTGAACGGATACATCAGTCATACAGCGCTCAGGATGCCCCATGACAAGCCCAACACGCCGCCACAGAAACAAGAATGAGATGCGTTCTAACATAACTGTGGCATTAAACTCAGTTAGTCAGGGCTCGGTTAAAATATTGCACATATATAGGCCGTTCAGATTACTTGTTAAAATGCAATGAGATACCTTATAACAGCAGACGATATACGTTTGTGGTTGGAGACTCCTTCATCGGCTACAGGCTCTAATCCTCATTTGCGCGAGTGTGAAATGCAGTGCTGAAGTGAAATAGCGGGGCAATTTGATAATAATAGCCGAATTATAATAGGCCGCCTAATAATAATAATAATAATAATAATTTAATACATTTATAGGAGAATGAGCCTGATATTGCCTTGACTATCGACAAAGACATGTGCTATTGTCTATCTCTGACTATCGTTGATACACGATACTATCGGCACAACCCTAATATAGGTTTTGGATAAAACTGTTTTATCCAAAAGGAAAAACAAAACCACTTAACCTCCATGTTGTATGTTTCTATAGTCTATAATGAAGACTAAAGCCATATACTGTATGTGTATAGGGAAGCCATGGTATTGACTGGGAGGAAATCGGAGAAGGGTCCTGTTTGCTGGAAGCGGAGAGTGAAGTCTGAGTACATGCGACTGCGGCAGCTCAAACGTTTCAGGAGGGCAGACGAGGTCAAGGTGATCCATGGGCTAATACAGCAGACATTAAGCTGCTCGTATAGAGTTTGGCGTTGGTCAGGCTTTTAGGTGTCACGTGATATAGACAGTGCAAATGCACTGTTATGTATAACACGTTTCCACAAATTATAAAAAGAGTCATGAGAATAACTATGTTGCCTGCCTGTCTATAGGATAGTCTCACGTTGAAATGTGTTTTCTTAATGTACAGAGCATGTTCAGCTCCAACAGACAGAAGATATTGGAGCGTACAGATATACTGAACCAGGAATGGAAACTGAGACGGATACAGCCTGTTCATATTATGACACCTGTGAGCTCCTTGCGAGGGACTAGAGAGGTTAGAACAAATACCCTAATTCAGATTCTCCTAAAGTGCATGTTTAATGCCATCCATGCTTTTGTAATTTTCCTCAATTTAATAGATTTTTATCTCTATCTCATTTCTGTTTGCTTTTTGGAAATGTGTATTAGTGTTTTATTATTAAATGCAGTGTTTTTGGTGCTTGTGGCGTTTAGAGTAAATGCTCATTATCCTATAAATATCTTAGTTTATAGACTTCTATCTGACACGACTGAAATATTTTGCAGTGCACTGTTGACAGTGGCTTCTCTGAGTTCTCCAGACAAGTCATTCCTCTCAAAACACTGAATGCTGTGGCCTCTGTGCCTGTCATGTACTCTTGGTCTCCACTCCAGCAAAACTTCATGGTAAAACCAAATTTTTATATATATTTTTGTAAAAGTCAAAAAACACACTTTTAATCTTGTATTCTGTTTTAGGTTGAAGATGAGACTGTATTGCACAACATCCCTTACATGGGTGATGAAATCCTTGATCAAGATGGCACCTTCATTGAAGAGCTTATTAAAAATTATGATGGAAAAGTTCATGGAGATAGAGGTCAGGAATTCATTTTTTCCCTGATTTATAAGATTTGATCTAGTTGGTCTTTTAAAGAAATACAAATTGGGAGACGATTTAAAATGTATTTTTCATACTCTACTGAATATAAGAGCACACAGGCTTGGTATTACACATAATGACAGTTTAAATTTTTTGGGTGAAATATCCCTTTAAAGGATTAGTTCACCCAAAAATGAAAATTAGCCCATAAATTACTCGCCCTCAAGGCATCCTAGGTGTATATGACTTTCTTCTTTCAGAAGAATCCAGTCGGGAGTTATATTAAAAATTGTCTTTGGTCTTTCAAGCTGTTTATTGCCACTCAGCGGGTGTTGCATGCATCAGTCCAAAAGAAGTTAAATAAAAAGCGCCTATCCATAAAAAAGTGTCTCTCACGGCTCTGGAGGGTGAACAAAGGCTTCCTGTAGCGAATCGATGTGTTTTTGTAAGAAAAATATCCATATTCAAAACGTAATAATCACTTTAATGTAGCTTGCGCCAACAGTTGTACATGGAAGGAGCTCCGGGAGGATGACGTATGAGGTCGGCTTTGCGCATGCACCGTTCAGAAGTGACGCACGCGGAAGCGCGGGGGAGAGATCAAAACAACGGTCACTTATTAGAAGTATAAAACGAGGATTTGTAAAGAAGAATGTTGGAGGATTTCGATACAAGCCAAGAGGAGACTAGTTTTCCTTTGCTAAAGTAAGGAAACTTTGCTTCCTTTGCTCCTGTTAACAAACGTTGGTTTTCACGAGACTCCCCAGCGCATGCGCAACGCTGAACTCATACGTCATCCGCCCGGAGCTGCTTCCGTGTACAACTGTTGGCATAAGCTAATTAAAGTGATTATTATGTTTTGAATATGGATATTTTTCTTACAAAAACGCATCGATTCGCTACAGGAGGCCTTTGTTCACCCCCCGGAGCCGTGTGAGACGCTTTCTTTTTTTTTTTTTTTTAATGGATGGGCGCTTTTTAACAACTTTTGGACTGATGCATGCAACACCCGCTGAGTGGCATTAAACCGCTTGAAAGAGCAAAGACATTTTTTATATAACTCCAACTGGATTCGTCTGAAAGAAGAAAGTCCTATACACCTAGGATGACTTGAGGGTGAGTAATTTATGGGCTAATTTTCATTTTTGGGTGAACTAACCCTTTAAGAATTGATTCACATTTAAGCTAACATATCTGCAGCTGCAAAAAGCCCTATAGACTGCAGGTTCTCTTGAAAAGGGTATTGATTTCTTTTCCTGTTTTGTGTGTAGAGTGTGGTTTCATAAATGATGAGATCTTTGTGGAGCTAGTGTGCGCACTCAATCAGTACAGTGATAATGAGGAAGATGATGAAGAGGAGGATCAGCATGATTGCAAGTTTGAGAAGATGGACCTCTGTGATGGAAAAGATGACGCTGAAGACTCTCACAAGGACCAGCTCAATTCTGAAAGTAATAGAAATTAAATTATATTTTAGTGTAAAGTATGTAAAAACAGATCTAGTTTTGATACAGATTGTGAGCAGTTAAAATATATTGCATTTGATTATTGATTATTTTTTTTTCTTTAACCAAATTCCAAAGATTTACAGCAGTGTGCATCAGCAGTGTTACATATGTCATGTGTTTATATGTATTTTGGGACATCAGATGTTTTCCTTGTCCAGTGCAATATAGTTTTTTTTTTTTTTTTCAAACAAATCACATGCCCTTTAGTGCTGACAATAGAAATGGACAATATAATTGTATTACATGCTGCATGTGTTTTAAAGTCTCTTATTTTGTCTTCTACAATTTCTGTGCTTTCTTATTGTATGCAACAGGTCACAACAATGACAGATCAAAGAAGTTTCCCTCTGATAAAATCTTTGAAGCCATTTCTTCCATGTTTCCTGATAAAGGTTCAACTGAAGAACTCAAAGAAAAGTATGTTCGATATCAACTCCCCTGAATAAGAACTTTCAATGGTTCTGATAAACTTAAATGGAAAATAATGTGAAGCTTCCATTTGCGTTGAAATTTGATGGGTGGTGATTAGTGCTGTGTTCGATACGACGATGTATCTTTGACGATACGAGTATCGATACAGCTAGCCCTGTATCGATATTGTGGCACGTGTGCAGCAGTGGACCGCACTTAATTTGAATACAAGAACAACGTTTAAAAGTGAGCAGAAAAGTGCGAGGTTTCTAAAAAAAATAATGAATAGAGCATAATATATAGGCTATAACAAGGTTTAATCTGGCCGCAGAAGAACACATCTGGGTTGCCTGATATAAAGAGACGTAATCTCCGAAACAGAGCTTCACACTTGCGCAATACGGAAATATCTGCTAAATCTGCTACTTATCTTTGTCAACCTGGCAACCCTGTGCACGCGCGCTCTCTCTCCAATGTGGATAAACCATAAGGGCCTTTCGCACCGCAGGAACCTTTTCATAGTACCAGAACTAATTGTGGAACTACCCACTTTTCGGCGTGTTCGCACCTCCGGAACTGGGAGCGATTTTAGTACCGGACTGCCTTTTTCGAGAACCAAATTAGCTCCTACTCCAGAGCATATATAACCAGCGCAACTGGTACTAATCGTGACGTAAGTAGACATTGATTGGCCAAACGCGTATGAAAACGCCCTCACCCGCCATTATTTAAAACGCCGTGTAAACATACTGTAAGCATGTCAACTTATTTCACAAGTATGGAGAACAGTGATAGATGGACGGACGCTGAAGTGCAGGCACTTGTAGCAAATGTAGCACTGCCAGTTGTCTTTGGAGATTCTTAGTCCTCCTTTCCGTTCTTTCAATTGCTTTACGTATACGTCGACTTTCCATGTCCACTGTGAAACCCGCGAGACACAACAAAAACAGCTCCGATCACAGCGTCCTCCATCCTCCTGTTGTTAATGTTGTTCTTCTTTGTTTCTGTTGTTGAACGCCGCGCACATATGACGTCACTGTCGACCGGCTTACGTCACTTCTTAGTACACACTCTCGGTGCGAATGCAACCGTTTAAATGGTACTGGGAAATAGTTCGCGCAAAATCGTCCCATTACTATAGTACCGTATGTTTAGTTCTGGAACTAAAGCGGTGCGAAAGGGCCTATAGACTACCTTTTTCTTGTCGTAAAAATGGGCGCGGCCATTTGTAAATTTATATGGGTCTGGCTTCCGGTCTCATCTGCGTCCACTCCGTCCAGCTATTTTTAGCTGAACAAAACAGTTCATTTTGCTGCTTGATATTGAAAGTTGGTGTGTCTTATCATATTATTTTAATGTATTATCTGAAATTATGAACACACTGGTTTGTAGTGCAAACAGTTTTACCGTTTACTGCACGTTATTATTCTCCTCGTTATTTACCTATAGCGGCTAATGAACCGGAAGTCTCACCCATAGGCTTACTTCCGCGTTGAAGAAAAAGGTGGATAAAAACATGGACATAGTGTCCGTGACGTAAACCCGTAGACTTCTGAAGAGACTTTTTGAAGCCTAAAGTAAGCGGAGCCAGCCGTTGCAATCTTGGCAGCGCGTTACTCCCGGATAATCGAAAATGTGCAAAGAGGCGGGAGTTGGCTGCTGAAGCCACGCCCACCTAGCTCGCCGGTGGCATTTTAACATGGAGAGTCTATGGGATTGACTCCCTTTTGCAGCCAGGCTCTAGCGGCCAGTTGACGAATTACAGTTTAAGTCACTTCCGTGTTGGCTTCACGAGAGAGAACGGGAGGTTCCCTCTCGAGCTTTCACGAGACATCACGGAGATATTTCTCCGTGATGGGAACTCCTTCCCTTCCAACCTTTCCTGAAGTCCTATTGGCTCCCGCCAGTCCAAATGACTGGCCAATTGACGCGAAGTATGCAAACCGCATGCAAATACTGACGAGCTCAAGCGGCAGTATAAAATGCGGTGCACGCGACAATTACGTCATAATCTTCTACTTCACCTGTTGAATTCACTATGGCAACAATCTGCAAGATCTGCGCGGGACCGATAGAGCCGTCGGATCAGCACGACTACTGCGTCGCCTGCCTGGGCCTGGCCCACGCCGAGGCGGCGCTGGACGAGTCCAACTGCGGGCATTGCGCGGACCTTCCGGCCCGCGTGCTCCGGACCCGCTGCGATGTGGCTCGCGGCCTATTCGGGATGAGGCCCACTGCCGCCAGCGTG